GTACATAGCAAGTGACTTGAAACGATCGCGTCGTTACGCTCGAAGTACATCTGTCGCCGTTGCGCAACCACTTAAATCTACGGGCATCTTTATCTCGCGCTGCTTCCTTCAGCATCTCCCTCTCTCCCTCCCTCCCTGGGATTACGAGAACGTAGTTAAACATCGTAAAAGGCTAAGTTCGTTTTTACACTCTGTATCTCTTTGAATTACGTCGGAAGTTTCCGCGGCACGTTTTCCATGTCGACCATTTACTTAACGAGGAATCAGAAGGACCTACACAGAGCGGGGCGGAGGGAGGGTAGAAGGCAGTTTGGGCAGAAGGGAACGGGGGGAAGGTTTAAAGGATCGCCGGGCGATGCACCGTTCTCGCGTTTCGATCTTCCACTACGGCCCATCATCCCTCCTCCCTTTTCTCGAGCGCTCCAGCCCGCCCCTCTGCTACGCCCGCTGTACTATATTTTTTTCCGAGGCAAGTTTGTCGAGCAATCGCGCATTCGTTACGCGGCGGCCGTCGCCGCCGCCGCCGCTTCTTGAAAAGGCAGTTTGTCTCTCGAGCTCTGCGCTTCTCACACCGTAGACGACCTCGCCTTCGATTCGCGCTTTTTTCTCCCTCTCTCTCTCTCTCTCTCTCTCTCTCTCTCTCTTTTTTTCTTTTTTATTAGCGCGCGACGGCCACGTGAGCAAGAACACGTTTGCATTAAAGTCGGACGATTCGCGGTGTGCACGCACGTACGACGGCGAGTCTCTCTCTCGCTTTGTGTCGTCATTTATCGGATGTATCTCGGCAGTATAAATCTGCCCGCGCGGATACCTGCAATTAAGAAGCTCTAAAAAGTCCGGGACTTTTTGCGATCCAGTTTTGCGCCGAGCGTCCTCGCGCTATATCGCCCGACGTCTTCCTCCTCATTGAAAGAAAAATTTACAAGATTCGCGCGCGCGCGCTTTGATGTCTTTTGCTCGGCTTTTTCATTAGCGCGGATACTCCCGCGGCGCGCAGATGGAGTCTGCTCCTTTTTCTTTCTCTTCACATTAGATCTCACTACGTATTCTCCTCCTTGACACATCGCACGCGGTCTCGTTAGCATAACACACACTCGATACTCGGGCTCTTTGGTGCCGCATGAACGCAAGTGGCCGTATCTCGGTGAATTTAGGCACCACCACCCCCTCCCCCCTTCTCCCCGCCGAGCCACCTCCTCCATCCCAACTTTAAGCGCCGCATCGCCTCGAGGCTGCACGCTAATTAGCCTGTAGTTTCACGCGTGTTTGACTTTCTCAACTAGCGCGGCTCGTCGGAAACGAGAGGTGTCTCCGTCGCGTATCGCCTCGACGAGATCGCGGTGTAAACTGCCGGGAGCAATTAAGACACTCGTTAATTACCGTTTTAACCAGCATCAAGGTGCGTGTCGCCGCTCCTCGGCACAATGGAAATTCACGAAGAAAGGCACGCGTACTGTTCATCAGATGTCCGGCTACCTGAGTTCGTCGTGTCGTGTGTGCGATAGCGTGCGTGTTCGCATATTTCGCGTCGGCTTCGCATATTTAGCGGCGACGTCGACGCCCCGACGTCGATAGATCCGAGCGCTCGTTATTTCAAAACGTTCAGCAGCTATAGACACGTTAGTCAAGGAGCGAATTTGCGCGATTTCTCTCTCTCTCTCTCTCTCTCTCTCTCTCTCTCTCTCTCTCTCTCTCTCTCTCTCTCTCTCTCTCTCTCTCTCTCTCTCTCTCTCTGTGTCTCTCTCTCTCTCTCTCTCTCTCTCTCTCTCTGTCTCTCTCTCTCTCTCTCCCTCTCTCGCTCTCTGTATCGGCGATTATCACGTTTATTACGTCTAAGGATATTTTCGAAATGAAATGCAAGCGAACGCGCGCGAGGCGATTAATGTTGCCTCTTGCGCGTTACTCGCGCGACAGGAAGTTTGTCAAACTGTATTTTTCTAGGGTACAAATAAATTCTCTCGCAGAATACCAGGGATTTCCGCAATGTGGAAATCCAGAGGTACAAAGGCGGATCAAAGGCCGTTTCCGTCGTCTGTGTTACTAAATTATTTTCACCGGGTTAAACGATTTTCCCCTTAACGCGCGCGCGCGCGCGCGCGCTTGTGCGCGTATTGTGGATTTTCCCCCGCGTGCAATCGCACGCTCGCGTTATCCGAGTTTATCGTGCTCGATTCGATACTTATCGAAGTACGTGCCACCTGCACTACTTTCTTTGTGCCGTGCGATCGCCACTCGACCGCTTACTCACCGCGAATGGCTCATGCGAGAAAGAGAAAGAAAGAAGGAGGAGGGGGGGGGGAGGGGGGAGGAAAAGAGAAAGAGAAAGGAGAGAGGGAGACACAAAGAGAGATCTCATGAACTTCCTTATCTTCTCCTTTCCACGGAACACAGTTCTAGACGTGCGATACTGCTGGACGGCCCGATTCGTCATCTAACAAATGACGCGCATTGTTGAATCGAGGTTGCTATAGCCCACGTGTATAGGAGACTACGCGAAATTACGGTCGCGGTTAATAAACAGATCGATAACATTGATCGCTCTTACTTTTCCGAGCCGAACGCGCGAAGCGTAACGCAATAACGATCGCGTTCTCTCGACGGTCGAGCCGTTAATACCGACGGGAGAATCGAGTTTCATATTTTTCGAACGTATCGGGTTTCTTTCGGGAGAAAAATCGTACGGCATATTCATCTCTTCACAGGACACTTGAGCCGCGAATGTATCTTAGATTTCTCCTTGAGGATTAAGCGAATATATAAATTAATTTATATAAATTTCTTTAATACGTCATGAAAGTATTCGCATGCGTTTCAGTTTTTAAAAAAGTACAACGGATATTTCGACATTAAATCCACCGTTATTATCAGACGCTACACACTCACACACGCCAAAATTTAATTTTCGTACTTTATTTTAGGTAAAAGTTGATCTAAATCTCTTTTGATACATGAACTAATCCTGGCAAGTAAAAATTTAATATATTAACCCACATTTTAACTTAATGGTATATCAATCCAAAAATTTCTCTCGGAAATTTAATCAGTCAATCCCAGAAATCCGATAATTTGTTCGAGACATTAATTACATGATGGGTTCTATTTTAAAAGACGACGACTCGGTGGTATCGCTCTCCTAAATTACGTAATGAGCTTGAGCTTGTCTCACTTTTTTGTATCACGAAGCAAAATCAACGTGGGTAACTCGACGAATAATTTAATGGAAGTCGAATCTATTTGAATAATACCGACTATTCAATAGTTCATAGCCGGAGAGACGAAGAGACGGAGATTTCCGCTGCTCGCACGAATTATCGTTAAAGTACGCGAGATTTTCGCACGCAGATGTTTCTAATCTTCCTTGAGCGGCGGCGGCGGCGTTATGAACCGAGATTGACATCGGGTGAAATCGCACGAGGCGCACGGGGCGGGGAGGAGAACGGGGGGATAATCCGAGGGGGAGGAGGAAATGGGTCTTTGGGAAATAAGAAAACTTTTGTTCCCGATCGGCAGTTACCATCGGCGTTGCGATAAGAGACGCGAGAGCGAAAGAGAGATCGCCCCGTTTTTTTTCCCTTCGCCACCCTTCGCTTTCTCCCCAACGCGGTCTCTCTCGCCGGCTGCACGAGGTCGGTCGTTTCATTTTCTTAAGAGGGGGAGGGAGGAGTCGAGTCGAGGGGCACGTTTCAAAGGCACCCGGTTTGCCCCCCTCTCCGCTCGATAAATCGTACATTCCCTCCTCTCGCCGCCGTCGCTGCTGCCGCTGCTAGCGCGCGATCTCGTTACTTTCGTCCTGCTACATTCGTCGGATTCTGCAAGTACTACGTGAACTTTTGCGAGCGATCGGCAAGAAGCATCGATCGCACAGAAGTACTTACATTCCATTAAAGAGAGAGAGAGAGAGAGGGGGGGGGAGAGGGGGAGAGAAGAGATGTCAATTAGAGGCCTTTGCCTTTGACATTACGGCGATGCGCTTTCCTTCGTCGGGAGTCCGGGAGGCTTAATTATCGATACCCTCCCTTATATCGTGTTATTTGTCGTTTTTATACTTGGCGTGAGTGCCTGGCTTACGTTCAGTGGAATTCGCGTTTTTCATCGTCATATTATCATTATTCGTTATTATTATTATTATCGTCATCATTATCATCATCATCGTAGTCGTCATACTCGATTTTTATCGCCAGTTGTCGGCGATAATTGTTCCGTGTCGTTGCGCTAATTGCACCTTTCGCTTCGATCGAAAGTAGATTACGTCGCGTGCACGAGGTGCTCTCACCTTGAGTCCGAGCAGATAATCGTTACAATTATGCACGGTGAACGCTGTCTCATGCGTGTAATGTCGCTCCTCGTGTAACGTGTGCCACGGATAGTAGTTATATTAAAGCGGCCGGACTTCTGTTGCACGAGGGAAGCGCGGCGCATACAAGAGATCGCTCATAATTTCGCCCATGAAATTGTCGGCTGGGTGTCGCAGAGAGAGAGAGAGAGAGAGAGAGAGCGAGAGAGAGAGAGAGAGTGAGAGAGAGAGAGAGAGAGAGAGAGAGAGAGAGAGAGAGAGAGCGAGCGAGCGTAGAGCACAGGAGCAGAGCCTGATCGAACGAATCGATTCGCGAGCAACAGCGTTCCTCGCTTCTTCGTTAAATTGCCACTATTCCTCATCCCTACAGGCGCTTCCACCACCAACAGATAATTCTCCCGCCCTCCTATCGTCCCTTCTAAACATCGCGGCTATAAATAGAGCGAGGCTCGCTTCGTTCGTTCGTCGGGCTTCGCTTTTCTCCGCGTTCCGCGGTTGTATTTAGATAAAATTTCCGCCAACTGTCGGAGATGACAACCGCCGGTTTCGGCGTTGATCTTTTGCAGGCCTGGGCGAGACTCGAGGAAGAGGAGACCGCCTCCGCCAGGATCGTCGGGCAGCGCGGAGGAGGAGGAGGAGGGGGCGGAGGAGGAGGTGGTGGAGGAGGAAGAGGAAGGCGCGCGACGGAGTCCGTAGCGCGGAAGTAGAGTAGGCGATGTCAGTCTTCCCGGCAACGACGGCGGGGACCGCAACAAGCACAATAAGAACATCAGCAGCGACAACAGGCGCGACGACGATGGGGAGGAGGACGACGACGACGACGACGACGGCGACGACGACGGCGACGGCGACGGCGACGACGACGCGGCGGTCGGCGTCCCGGCCTCGCCGACACGGCTGGTGGCGGTATCGCGCGCTAGCGCTGTGCCCGATCCCGACGCTGCTGTTGTTGCTGTCGACACTGCCATTGCCAGCGGCGCGCGGCCTGCCTGCCGACATAGTGCAAAAATTCCACGACTCCGAGGTGGAGCGTATGAACCACCTGGTGGTGGACAAGAACACCGGCCGGGTGTACGTGGGCGCGGTGAATCGGTTGTACCAGCTGTCGCCGGACCTACTGTTGGTCGTGAAGGAGGTAACCGGGCCGAAGGGCGACTCCACAGCGTGCTCAATGCTGGACTGCCCTCGCGAGGCGCAGAAACGGCCGGTCGACAACGTGAACAAGGCCCTGGTGATCGATTACACCACGACGAGGCTCATCTCTTGCGGCAGCCTGTTCCAGGGCATGTGCACGGTGCGCAACCTGCACAACATCTCAGACGTAGTGCAGGAGGTGAAGGAGGCGGTGGTGGCTAATAACGCGACCGCGTCAACGGTGGCGTTCATAGCGCCAGGTCCGCCGAATCCGCCGGTTTCGCAAGTCATGTACGTCGGCGTGACCTTCACCGGCAACTCGCCTTACCGTTCGGAGGTGCCAGCGGTGAGCTCGCGTTCCCTCGACAAGGACAAGATGCTGAATATCGCTGAAGCTGCGGTTACCACCGGCACTAGAATGTACGTGAATTCGTTGTCGCGCGAGCGCTACCCCATCAACTACATTTACGGCTTCAGCAGCGGTGGCTTCAGTTATTTTCTCACCACCCAGATGAAGAACACGGAGACGCCGATCTACCTGTCGAAGTTAGTGCGCGTGTGCCAAGACGACGAGCATTATTACTCGTACACGGAGATACCGATCAACTGCACCAGCGACGAGAGGATCTACAATCTGGTGCAGGCAGCCTACGTCGGTAAGGCTGGCTCGGTGCTCGCCGGCGACCTCGGCATCACCGCTCAGGACGACGTGCTGTTCGCCGTGTTCGCCGAGAGCGACGGACCCAACAGCGACGTGCCGCGTCCACACTCGGCCCTCTGCGTCTACTCCCTCAAAGCGATCCGCCGGAAGTTCATGAGCAACATACAGAAGTGCTTCAGCGGAGAGGGACAGCGCGGCCTGGAGTTCATCTCGCCGAGCCACAAGTGCATATCAACGGTAAGTTCAACCTTCAAACGTGATTTGATATTCGCGCGCATGCGCGTTGTAGAAATGTCAGACTCGATTTCGCCGAAGGAGTCGAAGAGTTCTCGCGAGAGAAAGACGCGCGAGGCACTTGGAGCTCTTCGATCGGGTCTGTCAGAAATCAACGCGACAGAGAAGCACGACGTTCGTTGATCGCTCGCGAGAAGGTCCTGCGGAAGGATCTATGCCGAGATTCTGCCGTGTATCACGCATCCGTCAGAGGAATAGTCTTGGCGTCGCCGGAGGAAACGCGGATTTTCCATTCTTTTCCATACCTTTCCGCCGGCCCGTTGAACAATCGAAGGATAAGACTTCGCGATCCTCGCGGTTCGCGCTGGATCGCGACTTGTCGCGAGGCACCTTCGAATCGCGCATTACGTCACGCGGGAGTGACATATCCACTTACCGTGTTATCGAACGGGAAATTGATTTATCTCGTGTGCGGGAGAAGCTGACAGCTATAAGCATCTCGTTACTCTCGCTATCTCGCTGAAACTTGTTGGCGCTCGCTTCATTCCTCACGACCGGCATGAAGAAAGAGAGAGGGAGAGGGAGAGGGGGAGAGAGAGAGAGAGAGAGAGAGAGAGAGAGAGAGAGAGAGAGCTCAAACGAATTGATACCTCGACGCGCGCGAGGCTCATTGCCGGGCAACAATAACTCGCGGAAGATACTTGCGCGCGCGCGTTCGTACGGTACCGTGATACTCGGCGAACGAGGGTATCTCGGGGTGCCATCGTTGGCCGGAATTATTATAACCACACGGCGCGCGCGTACGGTGGTGCTTTCCGTTGTCGAGCGGCTGAATGGCCGCCAGGTGGGAAGACCTCCCGTCGCACAAGAAGGACGCTATTCGTCCTCCTTCTCGATTATTACGGTGCGAATCAATCGGCCGCGTCTCGACGAGGAGTACGGAGAGAGAGAGAGAGAGAGGGAGAAAGAGAGAGAGAGAGAGAGAGGGGGGGAGGGGTACTCTCTGTCTGCCTGTTTCTCTCTTTCTTTCTCTTTCTCTTTCTGTCTGTCTGTCTCTCTTTCTCCTTCGCTCTGGCTCTCTCGAGCATTCGCATTTACGTAACAGGTGGCATCGAAAAGCACGGGGAGGCAGGACGTAGGACGATTGCCTCGTGTACAAAGCGCCATATGCTCCTTTCACACGCACGACGCGCGTCATTCGTTGCGTGCGAACTCGCGGACTCGCGCTCGGGAACGATCTTTCTACGTGGCACAGCATCCCGCTCTCGTCGTTGTTACCCGGTGCCTCGCGCACCGCGATGCATTCGCGAACAGCCCGCGGGCTTGGCGCTTCCGTTTCTCGAGGAACGCGGAGGGCCGCTCTCTCGGTATCGATCGACGACGATTTAATCTTCTTAATAGCGACAGATAAGTACCGGCGGCATCTACGAAACGGGACTGATCGTTAATGAGATTTCACGCGCGTTCGTTACCTGGAAGATCTCTCTCTCTCTCTCTCTCTCTCGCGCGCGTGCGCGCGCGCATGCAATAAATTTTACACGCGAACAAACGTTGTTCCACTGTATTTGTCGTCTGTTTGCCGTGTCATCCTGCGCATGTGTATGTGTGTGTGTGTGTGTGTGTGTGTAATTTGGTAAGTACCACGTTTAATATTATATATTTCATATCTACTCGTCAGCGGGGAAATAAGCGAAATATTATTTTATACAATTACCTCGCAATTATCATTACGCTGCAATTAAAATCTACACATGTGTGTACATCGCGATGCGCGCGACGGGATCGTACGGATTGCGTGTAAACCATTACGCATTAAACGGCTATTATATCGGTGAAAATATCGGTACTCGGGTTATTAGTGGGCGCTCGTGAGAGGAACGTCGCGCGATCCGGCTCGGATTATGAATGCATTCGCGCTCGTTACTGTTCCCCGGGAAAGCGGCCGAATTTTTACTCCGTCTTTACGGTGTGCCCAGGATCTCGCGAGGTCGCAATTAAATCCCCTTAACGAGAGAAAGAGTCTGGCAGCGAGTTGCCTTTCTCTCACTGGATCCGCACGCATCGCCGCCGACGCGGCCCGGCGGATTCCATAATTTATTAACGTACCCCGGCGATGCCGGCCGCCGCCTTATTGCGGCGGGGCGATTTTATTGCGGGCCAACCGGCGCTCGCATTCCGCCACTTTTTCTTTTTACTTTTTTTTTTCCCCGCGCCTCTCCCCGCTGCTGTCGGAGAGACCAGACGGAAAATGCGGCTGTTCCGCGCTAGCCGCCGACGTTCCTCACCGCAACCGGCGTCTATCTCGTCGCGATCGATCGCTGTCGATCCATTCGCCGGCGGTTAACCGAAACTCATAGAGAGCGCCGATGAGAGACCTCGGTTGCGCCGACCGCTTGTGCCAACCTGTCGTGTGTGTACGCGACGTGTCGTATCGGCGTGTGTATCACCATCGCACCACCACTATTATCGTTGTAGCGCGTCGCTCAGACGTCCCTCGATTTTTACCACTGCGCCGTGTATTGAAAAATTCCCGCTGAGATTTCGCCGTCCGCTCGAGGAGAAGTTAATTTTACAAAAATGTCCAATCCTTCACTAGTACTCACACACTAGTACACACACACACGTACACACACACGTATACACACACACACACACTCACACTCACGCGTGTGCATATACACACGGAGAATGGTTCCCGACGTTTCTACCGGCAAAGTCCAAATTGGTTGAGGAATTTGTGTACAAAAGGGAACACCGGGATCGGGCTCTATATCTCCTTCCGCCGGGACTCCGGCGAATTGATTCCGCACGAATACATGCGACGCGGTCGGATTCCGCGATTCATGCTCGTCTCAATAAACGAACTCACCAGCCGTACGTCTGCAAGCCGTACTTTGCGAAGTCATCGCTCGGGAAAGGGAAACGAAATGGACTCAGCTTGCTAAATTAGTGGACACCTCCCGCGCCGTTGCCGCGGCATTGTTGAATTAATTTCACACTGCGACGAGAGAGTGAGGGAGGGAGGAAGAGAGAGAGAGAGAGAGAGAGAGAGAGAGAGAGATAGAGTGGTGCGCGCTTCGAAAGTGAATCTTCACATGTATAAATATTCCGTGCTGAAATGGAACGAGAATGAGTCCGGGGCGAGATTAACACAATCAACATGCGCATCAATTCGCACGGCGCTCCACGCTTTCAGACTTACCAGGATCGCGCGCGGAATGTGGGTTCGTTCAATATGGACTCTCGCGATTTATTCCAGCGCGAGATTTTCGCCGGCGTGACGCGTCGCGACGCCGGCTGCCGCCGAACGCGAAACTCGCCGTTCGTGTGAAATTTCGCCGAGATGTTGGACAGATTAGATGTACCCCGAGCCGCCATTATCTCAAGTAATGCGCTCTTTATCGCTTCATGCTACCATTGTCCATTGTCCCGCGGATCTCGATTGTTCTTCGTTTTTTTTTGTCGCACTCGCGCGGATTAAAACGTCGCCGCGCCGTCAGTTGCGGCTCGTTTTGTCGAAAAGTTTTCCGGTGAACGGCAGCATCTCGAGATCGTGCGTCGCGCTCTTCCACACGTCGAGTTATTCTTCAGAGTTTTCGTAAATTGACTTTGCCCGTCGCGTGGGCGCAGGGGAAAAAGAGAAAGGGAGTGAAGGAGAAAGTAGCATTAGTGAATTGAACGTCATTTGTACGTCGCGCTCGATCTCAGTTTACTCACGAAGTTCTGACGAGTCCATCGCGAGACAATTTCTCAGCGCGCCTCGATCTATATACATTTGCCATTTCTCGCGTGAAGATCGTATCTAAATTGATAGCGAAGGAAACGATAAATTTTCGCAATGAATGAGATAAATGGTGTTCGTTTCTTGTTCTTCCTCAGTTGTCCATTTGTTAGATTTGATTAGTCCGACTCACAGTCGTTTATAAAAGTACAGAAAAATGTAGATGAATCTCCTCGGCTTGTATTCCGAAATTATGCTTTCAATTAACCTTGCAACTTTCGTCGTACTCGAAGAACCGGTAGAGAATCTTGAGATATAACGATGTGCATATTAATATTTTCCGATGTTACAAATTAATTATCGCTGTGTTCTTCGTATTGCGCTTCATAGCAGGAAGAATTATTTAATATTCGCGATTGTCGTACTATTCTACTTGCATTTCAACCCATCTTTGATCTTGATAATCAGTAAATTAATTATACAACGTATTAATTATACAACTGCAGATAGGATGTGCGCGATAAGCAAATATTAAATAATACACATGAGAGGATAATGAATTTAACGAGGAAGTAAAACGGCAAACTTTTTTTTCATAATCCGTTTATTATCGTTCCTCATTGACGCAGAAATTTTAATAGGATTTGGAGATTCGATAAAAGCAGTAAAAGTAAAGACAGCAGGTGCTGCGCACAGAAGCGATGCTGCGGCCCGGTAGAGATTCAAACTCAAATTCGCTGCATTGATAATTATTACGTCCCGAGCCGACGCGGAGCACGCGTGTTATTAACGAATCAGTCGAATAATTTCTGGCGGCGAATGATTGAAACTTTTTGTCTGTTCTCGGACAATTTGACTGGGCTTTCATTGTTAAATGCAGGTACAGACTAGAGAGATGATCGAATATTGAATAATTCTTACGCAAGTACTTCTTCAAGCAAGTAAATAAATATCCGCGACACCACAAGACGACGGTTTATGCATTGTTGTATCTTCAGATTCTCCATTGGTCCTTCAAGTTTAATGGAACATGCAAGGTTAATGTACAGAACGAAAATTTCGGCTGCGGATGCACCTCGCGAGTTTGCGGAAAAATAAAGAGATCGAACTTTGGAAGAATTCCAAGACCGCAGTGTATCGCAGCAACTAGAACGACTAGAATGTATTACACCGACGACGATTGAAACGAAGAAATATCGTCAAATATTTCGCAATAGTATATTCGATTTGCCACGTTTGTTCGCTCTCTTCGACTCACCTTGGTGAATTTGGGAAACACTCA